ATCAACTGAGATAACCAGTTACCTTTGGACAAGTCGATTTTACGTCAGTCAAAACTTATAAAAAATAAAAATTTAAAATTATATAATCTTCCAAGAATACCTACAGAGGTAGATGCCACTTTACTGGATTTCTAGCTCGCCTGACTTGCCCTGGGAGGGAGCAGAAGTGCAGAGCAGACACCATCCCCTGTGTCACCAGGCAGTGCAATTCAGAAACCCTTAACTGCACCACAGATTTTGTTTCATCCATTGCCAAAAGATTATCTAGTTCCCCTCTCGCTCTCGCCAACATCCTGTCATCATCTGAAACAACTCAGCTTATTTAAACATCTGAACTCGCAGTTTGGAGCTCTGAGGGTATCAGCTAAGAGTAAAGCAAAAAGAATAAAGTACAAATGTAGCACTAGATTAACAATCAGTGCAATCCTCTCTGAAGCAGCAGCTCAAGTGCCAGAAACAACTGATACAAAGAACTACAGCAGCTCCAGCAGCGTACGCATAACTTTGGCAACTATAAAACATTAAAAGCCAGTTCACAGGAGGAAAAGGAAGACACTCATTAGGAAAATAACTGGGAAGTTCAAGGCCTGGCAGCTGGGCTCACAGTGGGCTGGGGCGAGAAAGGAATGCTTTATATCCCACCGCACCCCACCTCCTCCTCCCCCCGGATCTGCAGACACCCTCTCGGGGCTAGTGGCTTCATGCCACTCAGGCACAAAGCTCCTGGGCTCCCAGGGCTGGTGCTGCTTTTCCTGGCACTCATCCAGAACTGCATCGAGCAAGTCTGGCATCCTGGACCAGCTTAATGGCAATCCCTGCATGAACATGTGTTGAAATTAAAATCAGAGCTGTGTTCCACAAGGGGTATTTGTAAGCAGAGCCTTTAGAAATGCTGAGGTGTGTTCCAGAAAAATACTGTCTCCCTATCAAAATCTACCTCTCATTAGCCTCTCTCCCTTCACCGGCAATGCAATAGGCTGCTGCCAGCACACCATGCTGGAGTGAAGCATGCAAGGAGCCACAGAAGAGCCATGAAATGGAGGAGGCACAGCACTGTAAAGAAAACATAAAGCATCTGTGTTCCTGCTCACAGGAATATTCTTTCAAATCCCTGATTGTCACAGCCCTGAAGACAACTGCTTAGTGAGCCACCTTAAGGACATCTCCCTTTGCAAGATCTGCCCTTAAGCCTAGCAGTATTTTGGGGGAGAAAGAAAGGGTAAGGAGATGGTCTCAGTTTCTCCCAGTGCAGGCCATGCTTGTGTCTATTGCCACTGAGCACACACATACACATGCACAGACCGACCCCCTCTTTCAGCAGTTCTGCTAACACTTGCTTGTTAAATCAGTGACCTGATTGTGTGACAGAACTTTGATGGGCAGGAGCCATCAGACTCCAGCAACTTCCTAGGCTCCCTCGCTGTGTCCCTGACCTGCTGCTGACCTACTACCTTTTGGTTTGTTTTCCTCAATGAACTAATCAAAATCATATTAAAACCAATGCCACCCCATGGCTCACACAACATCCAACACAGGAGGTACAATTCCCCAGTTGCCCTTGCTTCCACCATAATAAACATCAGTTGACCAAGGCCAGCAGCTAACTTTTCACCTTCTCTGTTCTCAATGCTTAAATCATCCATGTTTTTACAAGCAAAGTTTAATATGACTTCAGGAGAAGCAGAGCACTAGTCTGCATGGTGACCAAGAAAAGAGAGACTCCTCAACAGGCTGACATATTTAGATACTTAAAGTATAGGATGTGGAAAGTAATTTTCTACCTTTTCCAGTTCTTCACCAGTCACTAAGATGGAGGAGGCATACCCAATGATTACAAGAGTAGCTCTGACATTTATTTCTGTTCTAAGTGTCTGCTGAGGCCTGAAAGCCAGTGGCATTTGGTAACTATTTCCAAATATAACTAACTGTTGTTTTTGGACTGTCATCATTCCAGGGAAAGCTCTCTCAACCTAATCTCTAATACATCCTTACTAAATGAAATGAAGGAGTCTTTTGACTAAGAAAATTGCAGTGTTATGTATTTGCCGGTGTTGTTAAACTCAAAACTGCTCCACACCCTTGAGATGCAATTCAAATTCCAAGTTTAATCCAACACTATCATTAGCCTATCCTGTTGGTATGGTGGTAAAGGACTGTCAGGGAACAGCCATCTGGGCTGCAGTACCGAAGTACAGTGGGATATATTCAAGACTGTACTAAACATAATATTTTTCCCCAAGGATAATTTACAGCCTTAAATGCTGTAGTGTTTGCACACAGGGCCTTTTGTGGCTTGCCATTTCACATGGCTTTCTGCATCATTCTCATAACGGCGAGCAAGCGTTTTAGTAACGTCAAAGGCACATGAACGAGTCGCTTTCTGACCATCTGGTTTCCCAGTTCTGGAATTAATTTATTTTTTTAACCAAAGGAAATTAGAAAAGTTGCCATTACTGTTCCATTTAATCAACAGCAGCTCTGCTCAGAAACGCAACTAGGTCAAATGTTCACGCTGGCACGGAACAGCAGTGTGTCCATCAATTAGGGCATCTTTGATTGATATAAGAGCCATCACAACAGCAACATACAGGGTTACGGATATTTAAGGTGTGTGTTGGGAAGGAAGCAAGGCATTAATTGCACTAATAAAACAAATCAGATGCTCTTTCCCCCCCTATTAAGCAGCAATTTCACTATGAACTGTTTATGAGATTCTTTTAAGTCTGATGTAATGATTTGCAGGGGAAAATGTTTCAGGTTTAGTATGGAAACCAAGAAGCAGAGAGTATTTTTCTTATGCCACTGCTGACCACATCAAACTTCTCATCCTCTCCCTGCCCCAGTAAACAATATTCACAAGTCTGTTCTCTAAACTGAAGGTGAGACTATCAAAAACTTCCTATCAAGTAAGAGAAATGAGTCTGTAAGTTGAACCCCCATTGCATATTTTCAAATTGTCAGTGCCTTATCTTCCTCAACATAAAGAGAGATCTTCAGAAGCTTACTTATGTTTATTAATCCTGTATTTCCTACAAACCATCCTTCTAAAGATTTCAAGTTATGCCAGCTCAGATGAAAGAAACAAACAAGTACTCTGGATACAACAGCTTACGGCATGTGTCTTTCTCCAACTTCTGCAGCCATGTGTTTCAGCTGCCTATCTCTGCACCCATACATGATTTGGATTCAGTTTTTGGTCTGTCCTGTCTCCTAAGCTACACGTAACTACTTCTATGTCAAAGAACATACTGTGCCAGCACACATGAAATAACATGAACAAACTGCCTCATGCCACAGGAGGAATTATAAACTCATATGGTTCAGTGGCTCCTATGATCATCCGTCACTTTAACATCATCTTCCACGTTCCACAACATTTTTGCCTCACTCCTTTTATGCCATGCTCAAAATTAGGCTAAACCTTTCACACCTTTTTATGGGAAAAGAAGCAGCAGGCACAGAGAAGCACAGAATATGCACTGAGAAAGCTCCTGGAGGAGATGAGAGGAAATACTAGGAATTTAGACACTACACTCATTACCTTTGTCACTAGAGTAAGGTGTGTGGACATTGTTGTTTGGAACAGAGACATTCTGATGCTGTGGCTGGTTCACTGTTTCTAAAAAGGAAACGAGGTTCTCATGGTGCGACAGTTCTTCTGCCACAGGGAAGGAAACAATATTCCAGTTCAGCTGAGTATCTCCTTCTGTCAGTGCCCGGAAAAGGGAAGGAATTGGTTCATGCAACTCCTCGACAGTGCTCTTGGATGTTGGAGGTGTGTCACTGTAATTGCGAGGATTGCACATACCTGTAGAGGAATGAAACAGAAAGTTATATGAAACTCCCTAAACAATTCCTCCTGAAACAGGCAGGAGTAGTTAGAAAATTAAAATTGAGGGGTTTCTGCTGAGCAGAACAGAACCCTTTGACATATATCCCACTCTTAGCCCAATTGCAGCAGGATGACCTTTCTGTAACAGCAGGTTTCAGATCTCTCAGACTTCCACAAAACACACCTGTGACCTCATCTAAATAGCACTTTGCTTCCCTCTTTGTGCTAGCATTACAGTTTAGAAAATAAGGAGTTCAATGGAAGGTTTGTTTTCCCTGGAAGAAGAGACAAAGCACAGTATAATCAATACTAGCATAAATGTGGAGTGAAAGCTCAGGGCTGAACGAAGGTAGTGTCTTGACAAATCCTGAGGTACATGAAATTTTGATCACAATTCAAGTATTCCACCTCATCACTGCAGCACAGCACTAGATCTTTTCAGTCTGCCAGAGATGTGAAGATCACTATCAGGAGGGAGCATGAGTCTGAGCTACTTTAATTTTGTAGAGACAGCCAAGATGAACTTTGTTTTGCTACTTAGCTGTAGCGGCCACTACATGCAAAATGTTTCTTTCTAGGTCATCTCTTCCTTACTTTTCAACATCTTCTGCCTTCTCTTGTTTTGAAACCTTGTAATCTCTTTTTGCTTTGCCAATTCCTACAAAATGTCTTTTTGTGATATGCAATGCCAGTGCCAGTGTTTCATTAACTGTTTAAACACCAGCATTTATTACTAGGAATGAAACTGAAGGGTATCTTGATTTAATCCAAACATTGAAACAAAGGAGATTAGAAAGAAATGTTGTATGGGCATAGGTATCTAAACTCAGGAGCCATGAAACACTATTAGAAGTCACCTGGCAAGAGACAAACAAATCCATTTTCCTCATGTACATCTGGATATCATTTTGGGTAGTTTCACAACTACAGTTTTAGACAGCTACAGCTGCAAAGCACACCAATTCTTGAACTATGAAAGTGATATGGGACATAAATGTTCCAAGTCTACCTGCCCCACACAACTAGAGAAGCATTTCCTGCCCCACAGATACATTTGGACTCCAGCTTCAGAAATAATTGTGCTTGACTGGAGCCTTATACAAAACCACAATCTTCTCAACCTAAGCAGATGGATTTCCATAATGAACAAAGCAGAAGTAAGTTTGTCCATGGCAATTAGTGTGAGATCTGGCAAATCTTAAGCAAGTGGTTAGCATTACCAGCATTCAGTAATAGGAACACTACAAGACAGTCTGCTCCTACAAAAAGATGAGTCAAGTACTGGGTAGGAAAGACAATGAGCCTCTCTTACAAATGACAACAGGTCACACTAAAAAATAATTCCACTTATACAAGCATCCTGCTGTAAATTATTATTTTCCTACTCCTCTCAACTAGGTTTGTTCTTCATGAACCTTCCCAGACTTAACAACTTAAATAAAAATTTTCTATCCCTGCATTATCGCCTTTTACTAAGTACTAATTTTAACCATACTTTAGTAAGCACTGTATTAACCACACAATTGTAATAAAGGATGCCCAGATGAAAATCAATTAGGAAGCTATCAAACTAGGTAAGAGTTTTGTACAGATACATCAAAGGATGCATAATTTAGTTGATGTCATTGTATTAATGTTGTGAAACAGAAACAAGTGAGCCTTTCTAGAGGGCCCCTCTGCCAGACTGGGTTCAGAAAACAAATTTCACTGACAAGAAGGACACGCGGGAAAAAATAACATCAAGATTGTTTATTAAAATCCTGCAGAATGTGTACAGGTTTATGTGCATATCAATGCAATATGAAAATACTGTCTTCAGTATTTTCTGAAATATGGTACCAAGAAACCATTCACAAAAAAGAAAATGGGCTATTGAAATGATGGAAGCAGACAAACCTTTACTTAAGGGACTAGAAGAGTTTAACACAAAGGAAAGAGGGACCTGCTGCTGTTCTCTCTCCTCCAGTGTCTTTTTCCCTGTCAGAGAAGGGAGAGAATATCCCCACAGAACATCGGGGCATCAACTGAGCACCCATAAAGTTACTGCTGGAGGGTAGGAGGCAATTCCTGACCTCAGGGCAGACATGACCTGAAAGACATGATGACTCATCTCCTTTTACATTAGACATGATCAGCTTATAAAGGAACTTAAGTATCAGCTCAAGTATCAGCAAAGAACTGTCTCTAGGTAGCCAAGTAAGGCATGCACTCCTATTTCCTCGTTTGAATAAGGCTACAGCAAGAATGACCCTACACTGAAGACTTCTCTGGCCCATGCCATAGAACCAACAAGGACCGAGGCACCCACAGGACCATCAGCAAACATTTTAGTTTACACAGTACTGGGAAACTGAACTTGAAACCGTGTTAACTCCTCTCCTGGATAACACTATGGGAAAGAGCAGGATGACAGTGGGCCATCTGCAAATTTATAAAAAAATGTGTGGACTTCACTTGTTTTCTTCACAATCCCAAGAGGCAGGTTCTTCCTCTCCCCAGAGGAGATCAGCACACTATGCCTTGTCTTCTACAGCAGATAATCATTCTAAACTAGGGGAGTGACCTACTGTTCTACTCCTCACACCTATGACTGAATATGACAACAGTACACTTTATGAAAAACAAGAAGACATTGGAAGGGCAAAGAGGATGATGAAAAAAAAAGGATATATGTGTGTATATACATATATATATTTCACTTTTCAAGGAGCCCAAGATCAAACAGAAAAAAAATAAACTCTAAGGCCTGTTTCTAAATGTATCCTCCACAGGTGCAGGGGCTGAAAATACCTTATGCCACGGAGAAGAATCACACATGCACAGGACCATGCCACTCCACTGCTCACTGAAAGGCAGTAAAGCACGGGTAAGCCAGCCTGAACCAACCAATAAAGGATGACAGAAAACCAATTCACGGCATGATGGAACAGGAGAAGCAATGGACTGCACTGGAAATGGGTGTTTTCACAAATTCACAAATGCAGGGAGCTGAGAGCAGGTACAACAGTCAAAATGTTTCATCCCTTTCATGGAAGCCAGGATTTTGAATGGCAGCACAGGGAGACTTACAGCAACCACAGGAAGGTGAAGCTTTCATTATATTTAAAACAAGCGACAGAACTAGAATACGTCCTCCTTAAGAAGGGGCAGCATTCACTTGCAAAGATCTGGGCACTCTGAACACCACCTGTTAGTAGTAATGTGTTCTTGTTAAGACTATCATCTAATCCTACAGTAAGTACTTGTATGCTTCTTTTTTACCCTCCACAAAGAGCCATTTCTGCAAATAAAAGAACGGTGAAAACACTGGGCCATGCATATTTAACTACTGCTCCCAACTCAAACCTAACTCTGTCCTACCTGTCAATACACACTTTACAGGTAGAAACCCTCACATAGCATCTGACCCCACAAAGCAGGTACTGTGTAGTTTCCTCAAGAAGACAATTCAAGAGGGAGTTTTATGTTTGAGAGACAAAATTAATAGCCAGCTGTGATGACATTAACCAAGAAAAACCTGGAGTACTTCCACTCCCCACTCCATAGAGCAGATTCAGCCTTCAAATATTTGGGTCCCCACGGTAATTTGTTCCATACCCACAAAATGAGCTGTAAGATGTTTAAAACACACATTCTGTCCCAATGTATTAGCCCTGTTATAAGATTCTGAGCTCAGCATGTGGCAGGAGAAAGGAAAGTAAAAAGAAAAGAAGAAAATCACCCAAAAATGCAAACTTACCAACACAGTCACAGCACTCATCCCAAAGTGTGCCCAGGCATAGCATGCACTCCTTACAGCAGGAACAGTTCCCTTCCCCAGGGCGGCACTGACACAGCTCCTGGAAACAACAGACACTCGTTACACTGCAGCAGTCCCAGATGTAAAATAACTACACAGCAGAGCAATTCTTCCTTAAGCCGCAACTCAAATTATGGCATTAAAAAAGCTTAGTGCACTAATACAGTGAGTAAATGGTAAAACAGCTCCAGCCAAAGAACCTAACCGAGTTTACAAAAGGACCTTTTGCAAGTTTGTTGTTTTGTTTTTTGGTTTTTTTTTAAAGTGACATTCTAAAGACAATTCTAAAGTCAGCATTTAAAAGAGAAAAAAACCCATTCATGGGAAAGGTGTATGCCCTTCTGTGTATGCCTGAACCTGACTTTTTCCCATCACAACAGGAAACTCGAAGAAGGACGTTTCTTTATATATAAATAGTGAGTGCACATTATAATTTAGCTAAAAAAGAAAGGTACTATAAGCCACATGTTCATACTCAAGATGCACACAATGTCTACCATCACACCTTTGTGTGGATTCTAAAAGGAGCTTACTCAGTTAAGTCGTCTGACCACAGGATTTTCTGCAGCTCTGAATACTTGTTACACATTGCTCTCCATTTGCAATATTAGTGACCAGATTATTTCCCCCTACCCATGTCCAGCTGATTAATTTTTGCTATTATGAAAACAACCCTATGCCTCCTCTCCCCAAATCAACACCTTGGGATACTTCCAAGACTTCTAGAGCTTCTAGAAAGTGACATGGTATACACTCAAATTTTTCTTCAACCATTTTTTTTCTTTGGCCAGAAAGATGGAAAATGCATGGAAGCAAGACAAACCTTTTTCTTCATACTACCCATACCTGAAGGTGCTGGTTAGCAGTCCTGATGGAGACATACACTTGTGGACCTTAAAGCATGGAAATAGCCTATATGGATGAAGGAAATCTAAAACCCAAGTAGTCTCCTTCCCTCGAGTTCAAATCCATACTAGTAACTCCAGTTTGGCCAAAAGACCGTGACTACATGACAATAATACACAGGCTTGAATTACATCATAGTGTGAAACATGGAGAACCAAAAGGCACTTTGGTCATCGTGTCTAAGAATTTGGTTTTGATGACGTCTGTCTAACTATCATGTTACATACAACTGGTGAGAAAACAAAATCCCATTACTGGAAACACTGACCACAGGATCCTTCCCACCCCTGGCTTTACTGGAAAGGCCATTGGCAAATCTCTACTATCACCAGGCTGGGGAGGACATGACGCCTCATCCTCACTTTTTGACCTTGATCTCCAGAGGTAGGAGAGGGACACACTGTGGTGTGGTTGGGGGATGCACATGGATAAGAGGGAAGGGCAGGAACATGGTTTGGTGTGAAATTCTCCTAGCCTGGAGTCACCACACATGGTTCCACCTTAGGTAACCACAGCTGGGTCAGGGACACCACTCCTTATAGGCAGACACCAACATCACCCACATGGTGAAGCTTCTTTCTGAAGCACTCTGGGAAGAAACCAATGCTGCAAAAATCCACTTTTTAAGTAATTCTTTGCTTGCTATTGTTAAGAAGCACCAGGTAGGGGAGAAAGGAGGCGTTTTTATTCCAAATGTCAGGAATGTGCTTGCTAGGCAAGGCAAAGCACCGCTAAGCACCTGATCATGTATGACCCCTGTTCTCTATTTACTCTGCAACATCAGCAACTGCAAATGTCCACATCCTGTTGATTCACACAGGGATCATCCCTCTCTCAAACCAACTCACATGGGTCCACAGAAGACTGAGGAGTGCATTTTAAAGGGTGAGATCTGGTTGGGGACAGGCCTTCAGAGTACAGCAAACAAAGCTACAAGGCTCCCAGTTCTGGAGTAAAACTGAGCAAACCCCAGAATGTGCTGCAGATATGCTATAATGCAGTATAAATCCATTGATTCTTTATTTTTCCATTCACTTCATCACAGATCCAAATCTTCTGGACATAAGCAAAGAAACAAAATTCAGCAGATATTGCTTGTGCTTCATATTGATTTGGACAGGCTAGATAGATGGGCCAAGACCAGTGGTATGAGGTTCAACAAGACCAAGTGCTGGGTCCTACACTTTGGCCACAACAACCCCATGCAGAGATACAGGCTGGGGGCAGAGTGGTTGGAAAGTTGTGACCAGTGGGAAAGGACCTGGGAGTGCTGGTTGACAGCGGCTGAACATGAGGCAGCAGTGTGCCCAGGTGGCCAAGAATGACATTCTGGCCTGTATCAGAAATGGTGTGGCCAGCAGTGATTGTCCCCCTGTACTCAGCACTGATAAGGCCACACCTCGAATCCTGTGTCCAGTTCTGGGCCCCTCACTTGAAGAAGAACATTGAGATGCTGGAGCTTGTCCAGAGAAGGATAACAAAGCTGGTGAAGGTTCTAGAGCACAAATCCTATGGGGATAGGCTGAGGGAGCTGCAGGTGCTTAGCCTGGAGAAGAGGAGGCTCAGGGGTGACCTTATCACTCTCTATGACTACCTGAAAGGAGGTTGTAACCAGGTGGGGTCAGACTCTTCTCCCAAGTAACTAGTGACGGGACGAGGACATAGTCTCAAGCTGTGCCAGGGGAGGTTCAGGTTGGACATTAGGAGGAATTTCTTCACAGAAAGAGGTGTCAATCATTGGAATGGACTGCCCAGGGAGGTGGTAGACTCACCGTCCCTGAAAATGTTCAATAAATGACTGGACATGGTATTTAATGTCTAGTTGATAAGGCAGTGATCAGGCAAATGTTGGACTCGATGACCTCAGAGGTCTTTTCCAACCTAATTGAGTCTGTGATTCCGTAATGCTGAGAAATGCTGCTGCCTCCACAGTTTAATGTGAACTGTTTGCCTGAGAGTGAACTCCTGCTCAAAACTTATGAACAGTACCTATTTCTATGATGTTTCCAAACAAAAGATGAAAAACAGGCTCATTAATGATATATACAAAAAGTTTTCCACAAGAGGAGACAGCACAAACGTAGAAAGATGACTTATGTGCACATTTCTAAAATATTTATCTTACTGTTTAATAAACAGATTGTGTCAGCCTTCAGAATAAAAGGCCTGAATAAACCAACTTTAAAACCAACCATGAGTACAGTACTGTTACTGCAGTCAGAGAATATTATTAATACATATTAGCATTAAAAATATCCTATTTATTTATTCTTCAACTGCAAAACTGGGCAAACAACTTTACACTTATTAAAGACACCAACAAGCCAGGACGTGGGAAGAGGCAACTCTCCGTAAACTATTATACATAATGTGTGAATTGAAGCCAGAAAATTCACTAAACTTAAGTTGTTTGGGTTTTATCAAAGCGTATTCTCAGAGAATTAAATATAACCTTAAATTCTGCACTTGCAACGTATTCACAAAACATTCTGCTTAGCATCAGTATGTATAAGCACTGTCTTGGGGATAGCATAGTTACATCTACCAGTATCTTAACAGGTTTGATTTTACAGGAAGGGCTTATAAGCAATGTAATTTTTTTTTATTGTTTTGGGGAGGTTTAACTATTATGTATTTATTTTAAACTTGGAGGAGAGGAGGGAAGAAAGAAAAACCTAATTAATTAGCCTTCTGCTACTTCAGGGCAATGACTGTATGTTTTTCCATAGATGTGTTTGCACATAGATGGTTTCCTTAACCACTTTTGAGTTGTTCTGCCTGACTCATCCACACTAGATACTTGTACAGGATACATCTTTTTAAAAGAATGCTTACATGGACGTGGGTGAAGCAAGGCAGAATGAGAAACGTTCCTTGTTGATAGCTGGGGGTGGTGAGGCGTCAGTGGAAGAAAATATTACTCATAAGTCAACTTGGCAACTTCCCAAGCTGAACTACTGAAGGTGCATCGGAGAATGTCTTTTGCTAGGCAAGAAATAAGCCTCACGGTCTAAAAATACAGCTTTAAATAGGAAGCAGGCATGTTTGTACAACAAAGATACTTCTGCTCCAGAGAACAAACAAAGATTTTTACAAGATATTTAACATCTGCTTTTTTTTCAAAGCTTTCTTGAAACAACAGAGACTATTTTCTTGGTGCAGGGAGAAGCAGGACCTGAAGGCATCAGAAACATCTCTGCAAATTGGAAGGAGGAGTGAAAGAAAAAGAGCTAGCTCCTTTTTTCCTTGAAGAGTTTAATAACAGAAATCTGGAAGCAAACCAGCCAGAACTGTTTTGCTAACCCAACTGCATTACGTACTGCAGCTACAACACGAACACTGAGAGTAATTTTTAGATACCTAAGCCCTGAAGTTAAGGAGTGGCATTTATTTCATACCACAGGGCTAAAAAGTCTTGGAAATCCTTTCGAGCTGACAAGTTTGTACACAAGATTAACAGGAGGCAAAGAAGACAAAGACGAAAAGATATTTTACTTGGAAAGATACCACACCAGCTGAGGTGGCTGCAGGTATAATAGAGTTCAGGAGAGAAAATCCTGTGTTCACTGCAAAACAACCCCTCCTTTAGAAGGATCAGAAATCCATGCCTGAATTATAACACCATTGATTTCCTACACATGGCGGTAGCTTAAAGAACTGTTGCAGATGAGACATCAAAGCTCAACTTCCAGCCCAACACGGACGTATCAGCCCAGCCTGACTCCTGCAGGTAGCTTTGTGCTGCAAGAGCCAGCTTGGGACTCGCCTCAAACCCATTTGCTATGAACAATTGTGGGAACGTCTCATCCTAGAAGTTTCTGCCTTCAAGGACTTCCTCCATGTTGCAAGGACACAATATACGCCTCCACTCCACCCAGCGAGCGTAACTGGCCTTCTCATCTCCTCCACACATGGAAACATCAAAACAACCCATGCATCCAAGTCAACAACAGATGTGCTAGAATAAATACTGCAACGTGCACGCTGTGTGCAATCAGGGCTCAGGAGCCCACCTGAAAAGCACAGCAACAGCCAGTTATTGACTCCAATGCCCCAATCCCAGAGACATGGGAAGGAGCCACATCCAGAGCCTTCAAGGGAACTAATTTTGTGGACCCACTCTCTACATTCCCAAGCCTTACGCACAACTCCTTCAACAGCTACAGGAAACCACAAAGTTTCTTTGCGAAGGCTGAGCTAACACAGAGAGATACCCCAAGCCATCTTCTTATAGGTCTTTGCTTACAGAAAAAACCAAGAAGCACCAATGAAGTTAGAGCCTCAAGATGTAAAAGGAAAGCTGAATGCATGTGAGTTGTTGATCTCATGCACTGTTCTGGATCTAACAAAATAAATATTTATGTAGGGACCACCCTTAAGCAGAGCAGCTCCTAAGGAGTGGCAGTAATGACCATACTGACTTCTAGCCGTGCTGGCAAAAATATTTATGCATACAGATGACAAGCATTCACAATCTCTTTGCTTCCCCAGTTGTCTCCAAGTGACATTATCTCAGTTTCAAGACATGGATTTTGCCGAACTTGAACAGTGATAAAAATCGGTGAGGGAAAAATGTCATGCGATAGTCAAGCAAAGTCACTTAACACAGTGTTTATTTTTAAGTTCAGATTTCTCCAGAAGAGTTCAGAGGGGAAAAAACCCCACAGGGATATACTCTACTTGCATACCTACCCAGGAAATAACTTCACATAACTTCAGTGTTGCTTCTGCCGCAACACTGATAAAGATTAAAACAAAACAAAAAACCTCAAGAAGAAAGATGACAATTGCTTTAAGTCAAAGCTTTAGAATACTTCATATCCACAATCAGACTAATCTGACCTGATCTGTTCTTCCATGAAGAATGAATACTGACTGGTAAGTCAGGCCCATTTGCAGGAAGACAGCAGCCAGACAGTGGAAATGAACAGTGTGATTCCCCTGTGATTGTACACAACTCACACATCCTAGGCTACTTTAGGGTCTCAGAGAATTGCATTTGATTTTGATTTTAGGGAAATGCTTTATAAAGGGTGTCCACATCACCTGTACAAACTAAGAGAGAACACAGCTACCACAAGTAAAGCAGTTCAGTGTGCCCTCTGCATGCTATAGAGTTGGGTTGTGCTGCTACAGAGGTGCCAACATAATCCAAGGAAAGCAGAGTTGTGTGAGCCACCTCTGTGCAATGCTGAACCTCAGCCATTTATTGGCACCTGAGTAAGGAGTGCAGTAGCATTAACTACACTTCCCCTGGGCTGTACTCTATTCTGACTAGCTCATAAAAATAAAGGTTAAATGCTGGCTGTCTCAAGCTTGACTTGACAAAAGGTGATTACTTGGGAAGGAGATGTCTGTGCTTTCCTGGATGGTGGACTCTATTGGTGCACCAGAAAAGGAAGCACTACATCTTCCCTGTTCTTCCTTTTGCTTACAGAAAAACAAGCAGCACTCCAACAGCTTTCTGGACCAACATCCAGCATCAGGACCAACAGCTTTCCCCTGAATCAACAAATCTTTACCACTGCATTTACTTCTAATTGCCTCATACATACAATGCCACAATTAGCACACACAGTTACTTCTTAAAGGCTTCAATCCTAGAGATGATTTTAAAAAATGCAGCAGAAGGAACTTAGAAATGCATCAGTTTGTCACAGTGCACAAGGCCCAACATGCCAGCAAAACCACTGGTGTTCTGTTTGACAAGGTAAAAATCAGAAGCCTCTTTCTTGGTCCCATATTTAACAACTCCCCACACTGTGGCAGGTCTATACGAAGCAGCAATTTCTTATTTTTGTTTCAAAGTAATGGCAATGCAGAAGCCTGAAAGATGACAGTTCAGCCTACAGTCAGTCTTCACTCCCGGGATGGATTTGTGAATCTGGCAAGTATTTTTATTTGTAAACCTGACAAATTTTTTATGCAAGTCAATGCAATAAAGTAAACATGGAAATGCGTCAGGCCACTTCTGCATCTCTTTTCAGGCAGTGACCATGCGTTTACAGTAAGCAAACTCACATGTTACTGCCATATGACATTTGCGCTCTCTGCTATTGCCTTTCCAATCTACAAAGAGGCAGAAAGGAACAGTTTCTTTTAAAGAAGCTGCAGCTGATCACATGATGCCTCCTTTTTTTCAATCTGGAGTCAAGAAGAGTGCTCAACATGCCATTAGTGAATAAATACCTGGTAGTTACCAGAACTGCTTGCCATTTTGCTAGAAAAGGCCCTTTTGTTCTGTTGCACACAGTACTTCAACTTCTGCTCTAAGAAAAGCAGCCTGTTCTCAGTCTGTTTCTTTCTCTGCAGACAGACAGGCAGTGAGTCAAAAGAAGCATCTAGATTTAACATCCACTCCCTACCAGTTCAAGTTGTAAGCATTCGGTTCAGTTTTGAGGCATCTTTTAACTGACTCTACAAACCTGTTGTTATGGAGAGCATCAGGCATCAGCTACTGACCCTCTGCCTGAGATTTAAGAAAGTGGAGAAGCTGCAAGTTAAGGGGAACATCTCAGGTGATACAGGAAGACTGTAAGAATGCTTGAACTTCTGGTATTGCAGATATTTTATAAAAGAACAAGTGTTGCTCACAGAAACCCTTCTAGTACCCTCCTGCTTCAAACTGCTACTTGTTCATAGTATCACTAGTAACAACAAAGACACTGAAAACTAACAGTGTAACTGGTAGTGGCTTCTACACTACAAGTGGCAGTCATAATCCCCAGCCTGAAAAAGTTTCCATTAAAAAAGTGAAACGTGCCCATATAAGCATGCACTTAGTGTTATCTATAAAATGGTTGTTAATCTCCTTTTATACTTGGAGGAGACCAAATCAGCCTCCTTAAAGAGACCCTACTCAACACAAAGTATCGGTTATTTGTATCACTGGATCTTTTAAAGACACAGCTTCAGAACTGCTTCTTAAACACTCAAAAGCAAAGAAAGGAAACAGGACTCGTACCTGTATCAGGCATTTACTGACGTCGCTAGCACAGAGAGCCTTATTGCAGCCTGCTGACCACTGGATCCACAGGAGGAACAGAAGGACAGTGACTGTGGGTGCTGTGATGTACTGTGACCTCATGTTTCCTGCAGGTGAGCAATTTGCACAAGTACTTCAGCCAGCACTGAAATGAAAACCAGCAGCTGAAAAAGGCTATTGGAACACAAGTTAAATCCTACTTCCCTTCCCCCTTGCAATTTCTTCTATAAAAATGAACATTAGAAAAAAGAATAGGTTAAATTGGGGTGCTTAACCAGAAACCAAGCCCCTCCTCCTCCAGCCAACTTGTTTATCCAAAGTTTTCTGCTATTGCACCTTTGGATTAAAACTGCAATAAACTTAACACAAACAGTCTCGAGTTTGCAATACCAAATATGATACCCTATAAACAGTGACGATAAAAAAAATGCCGCAGATGAGAAAACCCAGCAATGAAGACCTAATTCCATAAATCAGATTGGTTTCATGCAGTATCTCCTCAGGCTAAAGGTACACACAGGTGTCCAGGACCAAAGCCATACAGCAACCTCTTAAAACGAGGTAAGTTGCCCTGTCATCTTTAATGCAGGCAGGCAGTTGTTTTCATACAAGCAGTTAAGATGCCGCACAGGCTTTCAACTCAATCACAAAGTTATTAACTTCTGAGTTTTTTTAAAAAATACAGACACCAACATTTAAAACAAAAGAAAAAAAAAAAAAAAAAAAGGACTTTGAACAACATAACTTTCAAGAGCCACACAAGCGACTGAAGTCAAGCGGAGACGACGAGCATCTGCTACTTCAAACGGACAGAGGAGCGGGGCTTGTTCAAAGCATTCCACCTTTCTCCCTCTGTGCAAGCCCAGCCTGTCGGCAGGTGGGATTTGTGACAAACACACCGCGATTAGCGGCGTGCCACTGAACCCTTCCTTGTGCTTAGCATGTGAACGCAATCAAAAGAGGGCCCTACTGCACTAGGCACTGTACCAATATATAATAAAAGGCAGCCCATGTTTGGGCAAGCTTACAGTGAGCCTGTATTGTTCTCCTAAGAGAGAAAAAATGCTAATGGGGCACTGGATTTCTTTCTTTTGGTATCGAGAAATGTTTTCCTGTTTTATGAACTGAAAAAACACAACACTCTCAATGAGCAATATCCAAACATAAAAAAGTAGAAAAGCAAGCCAAGATGTAAAGAAAGCACGATCAGGACATTTAAAGTCTGCGTCCGATTAGGTCTTTCTTACAATGGTTATTGAACGCCTGTAAATCTGGCTGTGCCGGGCACACTGCCATCCCTACCCATGCACGGCCGGGGGACCCCCTGCCAGGCCCGGGGAACGCGGGACCTTCCCCCTGCGCGGGG